AAACAGACTTTCTGGTGCCAGGTATCAGAGGTATCTCATAGTGTCAATCAAGCTTGCCTAGAGTAAAGGGAATTTACAAGGCCTAAGACATCCTACATTGGTCAAGGATTGTAAAAGTCATGAAACTTGTAATTACAAAAGTTATGACCGCTCAGAGGAAGAGAAGGTGGGGAATTGATCTTCCAGTAAATTGGGCCCTATCTACAGGGAAGCCAAGGATCCCCCAAAGCTACCCACTGGGAATGCCTAGGAGATAAGGGGAGGTGCACCCCTCCACTAGCTCTAAGGAATGTGATTTGGGAAGGTGCAGGAGCATTAGAATCCTTGTCATGCGGTTCTCTAGGGGCTATGATAATATGGGCAGACATCAGTGGGTCTCTGTGTCACAGGTTCTCCAAGACATCCATGGGTGGTCAATAAGGAAGTCTCGGCAGTCACAGGCAACATCTCCAAGGAAAGGATTTAAGCCAGGGCTTTGGGGGGCTACGCCGCCACACTCACCTAGAGTGTAGGCCCACTCCCTGTCTGTGGGGGGTGAAGCCTTCTTAAATAAATCTTATCGTCTTTCACCTCTGTGTGTTACAATTCTTTGCATTTACTCGGATTGCTGGGTTGCCAGCGCGCACCTTCGGCCCGCCGGCTCCGGTGGTGCTGCGTCTCCCTCCGCCTCTCTCCTCTCTCTCTCTCCATCCATCCACCCTCACCCTATCTGTACCCTAGCAAGGGTTACACTTTTTGCACCTTTTGCATCCTCAAATAAGCAGGTAATAATGTAACACATAGGCTGGGCGTAGTGGCTCACACTTATAATCCCAGCACTTTGGGAGGCCGAGGTGGGTAGATTGCTTGAGCCCAGGAGTTAGAGACAACATAGTGAAACCTCATCTACACACAAAAAATAAAAAATTATCCGGGCATGGTGACCTGTGCCCGTAGTCCCAACTACTCAGGAAGCTGAGAAGGAAAGATCACCTGAGTCCAGGAGGTCAAGGCTGCTGTGATAGTCATAATCATGCCACTGCACTCCAGCCTAGGCAACAAAGTGAGACTCCGACTTAAAATGATAATAATATTGATAATGTATCACATCATATCTCACCACTCTCACCTAATAACAGTTTGAAGACAGGTAGCCTAGGGCTACCACAATACCATCAAATAGCCAATCTCCATCTTTCTGTTCAGCCATGTGGTTTTTGCCTTCATGTTTGTCACCACAGACAAATAGTCTGTATCCTTGTCACTTCTAGTCACCCAAACTACATTCCAGGTACAAAGAAGGAGGCAATGAGGAGGAAGGGGCAGTGTCTTTGGCACTGTATGTTTCTCAGAAATGTCCCAGCAGTCTTCTGCGTTTATCTCATTGGCTGGATCTGTGTCACCACTGCCTGGAGCTGCAAGGGAAGCGAGACACACTGCTAACCCGAACAAAACTAGGATTCTATTGGTAAGGAAGAGGAAAATGGATGTGGGGGAGGAAATGAGAAGGCCTCATCCAGCCCAGGCACTGAGAACCACAGTGCCGGTCCTCAAAGACTGGTGTAGAAAAGAGATAAACCAGCACTTTAACAGTGTGATAAAGACCATGGCAGGGGGTCATCATGGCTGCGTACAAAGGGGACACCTGATTTATACTTGAGAGGTCAGGTAAGGCTTTTGTAACGGAGGTGATAGCTGAGAACTGAAGCATGGTAGGAGCTGGCCAGGGGAGAGAGAGCACGCACAACAGTTGAGAGGAGAGACTGGGTCTTTTCCGGGAACACAAAGGAGTTTGGTAGTAATCCGAGTACACCATAAAGAGCAGTGAGGGTGGAGGTCAGCAGGAGACAGAGCGTGGACTTCCTAAGTCCCTTGAAGGAATCCATGCTTGTCTTCAAGGCAGTGGGGAGCCACTGAGGGATTTTAAGCAGGAGACAGGTTTTGGTTTTGCTTGCGGGTTTTTTAAAGTAGAGTGAAAAAATTATTCCATCTATAGCAATTATCTCTAAGTGCCAATGGGTTAGCTGTCCCTTCTTTTTTTTTTTTTTTTGAGTTGGAGTCTCACTCTGTCACCCAAACTGGAGTGCAGTGGCCGCTCCTGGCCACCGCAGCCTCGACCTGCTGGGCGATCCTTCCGCCTCAGCCTTCCAAGGAGCTGGAACTACAGGCACGCACTACCACACCAGGCTAGTTTTTGATTTATTGTAGAGATGAGGTCTCGCCAAGTTGCCCAGGCGGGTCTCGAACCCGCGGGCTCAGGCAATCCACTCACCTTGGCCTCCCAAAGGCACGGGATTACAGGCCTCCCAAAGGCACAGGATTACCAAGCCCGGCTAGCTGTCCCTTCTTAGTGTACCAGGAGATTCACAAATCTGACTCGGCCAACCCCTGTCTCCTTTGACAGGGTTGCCCTCAGCTGGCCACCACATTCCAAAGCTAGGAACTATCTTTTATTAATATTTTGGATGCCCTCCCCAACATAATGCTGTGGGTTAAATTAGGCTTGTTCTGGAAAGGCTACTCCTGCCCGGAGCAACCACTTCCTATTTTCTTTACTTTTCAATATTAAAACCCAATAACTATTTTTTAAGTCAATTAAGTCAAACAAGGTATTCTACACGACTAAGTACATGCAGAAATCATGAGTAGTAGCAACATAAATTGTCTCGAACATGTTTGATGTGATCACCTAACTCTAGATAAAATATTCCTTTTTCTTGATTTAAAACGGGATCACACATTTGACTCATCTCCCAGTTTACAAGGAGATGGCAAGTTTGTGACTCCTTGACAAATGGCACCTTAGCAGGGAATACTGCAAAAGCACTGGGCACATTATCACTTTGTTTCCCAAACTGTTATCTCTGAAGCACAACTTACAAAAGAGAATGAAGTCCGAGAAAACTGCCTTTATTACTGCACTTATTTGGTACGTTTCAATGTCAAGTTAAATTGACTTTTCAAAGACAAGAGCATTATAATGTCCACCTATCAGCTGAAAACAGTCATTTGCAGCCCACTCTCCATGTCCATTCCTGACTTCCTTCTCTATTTGCTTTTATACAGAACTGGCTCACATTTGAGTATACTATACAACTTACTTTTTTACTATTGTCTGTCTTCCCACACTAAATGTAAACTGAGAGCAGGTATTTTGTTTTGTTCAGTGATGTAACAGTGCTAACAGCACCTAGAATATGTAGGGCATTCAAATATTTGTTCAGAGAATTTGCAAATTATTAGAGGTTCTTCTTTGTATGGTCTTCTGTCCTGCTGAGGAAGGGCCAAACTCATCTCTGAACTTTTGCACGTCGTACTTCTCTTTTTGGGTTGGGTCACTGAATCCTATCATTCAAGCAACCAAAGCAAATCAGCAAATTGTCCTTGGAAGTAATTACATATTTTGTTTCAGCAGGCAAATCAACTTTCAGGAGCAATGTGTCATGCATCTTTCCCCATATTTGAGACTTTAATGTCATTCAGCACGAACTAAATCTATTCTTTTATACTGTCACTCCACACTGCCATAATTGCACATTTCTCATACTATGTTTCACTGGCATTCTACTAGCATAACTGGACTAGCTAGTTGGTATTTCGGCAGACCTAAGATTCTGGAAAGGCTGTTATGAATCCTTTCCAAGGATCTGAGTTCCCTCCTGAACTGTGGCATCAGGATCTGTTTTTATTCTTGCATCCATCCTTTCCACTCACGCATCCATCCAAAAATTATTACACATCAACTTCATAGAAAATCTTTTTCACAGCTGACCCCTAGGACATTTTTTTGAGACTAGATTATAATCTCCACAAAAGTAGGTCTTGTTTATCAATTGACAACAAACTAAAACTGATCCACAGCAAATGCTCAAAAAAGTTTTGTTGAAAAAAGTGGGCACTTTATACCTTTATTGCTCATTTTCAAGTACATAAACTGATGGACATCAATGTACACAGAGAGACCTAGGTGGTCAATCTAAGTGGGCCAGGACCTGGCAGCTGGTGTTCAGGTCACCGTAGCAGGCAGAATCCTATTGGCTTCCCAAGATGCCCCACCCTAATTCCTCAGCCTAAGAACAAGACTTCACACTTGTGGTTATGTAACATAACCTGGAAAAACAGACTTGCGGATGTAATTAAGATGACATCAGTTGACTTTAAGAAAAAGGATTATTGTGGCAGGCTTAACTAACCATACAAACCATTTAAAAGAAAGTTTCTGATTTGTAGTAGAAGTCTGAGATGCCAAGAAAAGTCAGATTCCACTGAGCACACTGTTGCCAGCTTAAAGATGAAGGGGGGCATGTCCAGAAATGCGGGTGGATTCCTGGAGCTGAGTGGTACCTAACAGCTAGCATGGAAATGGTGACTTCATCTCATACTTACAATGAAAGGATCTGAATTCTGCCAACAAATACGGTAAGCTTGGCAGCAGATTCTTCCCCCAAAGACTCGACAATAGCCCAGGCTGGCTCTCCACTTGGTTTCAGCTTTGTGAGACTCCAAGCAAGAATCCAGTCCAGCCAAGCCTGCTCATACTTCTGAGCTACACACAACTGTGAGGATTTGTTAAGCAGCAATGGAAAAATGATAAAGTCACTTGGTACTAGGACTGTTTTTTGTTTTTTTTGTTTTTGTTTTTGTTTTGTAATGACCAAATCCTGCAACTACAGCAGGTGTTTTACAAACTCTTTTGTAAAAATAACTCATTTACTGTCATGCAAGTCCTCCCCTGATTTTCCGTTTCCTGAATTTCTTTCCTTTCAGTGTCCATGGAAATACTGTTCAGGAAAGAATTCCACCCAAAATTAGTTTTTACGTCTGAAAACACGATAAGCTACTAAAAGAAAATTTCTCTGGATAGTGTTCAACTTATAATACTGCCCTTTTATAATCAACCCACAAAGATAAATCAAGGGATAAACTCATCAACAACCAAAAAAGGTCCACATCCATGCCAGCAAATTTATAAAAATAAAAAAAGTACAATACAAATAGGATCAGATATTGAAACTGTGTAAATTCTCTTATGAGAACTTACCGTCTCAACATAGAGAATAAATAAATATGTACACTGAGTCAGAAAATTATTTTAATAGTTACAAAACTTTTTTTTATAGAATCAGTATAAAATAGCAGTTGATTTCTCCATAATTATCAGTATTATTTATATTTGAGGTCTTGGATAAGTGGGGCTGAAATCAACAAAAGGTCTTGGACTGTTGGCTCAGAAATCATCCTAGGAAGCCCACCCTGTTGATAGCAGTCATGCTTAGCTCTTATGAGATGACTCGGTCCTTAAAAAGTATCTCTCCTTCTTTATTCATTCTTTGGAGGCTTGAAGTGAATTCGGCAGCGTTCATTAAACACCTAAAATATTTAAACAGAAACAAAAGTCAGTGAGTCATCCTGCATAAATCAGGCCTGAAACTAAATTAAGTTTGACATGCTTCAGGAAGACATTATCATTCTTGTTCCAAGTCAACAGGTTTAGGAAACAGAAGGGTTTCATCACCAGTTCAAACTGACCTACCAGGTACTGAGCGCACAAAAGGCCATGATTTCCATTTACAAGACAATTCTTGTATTTGAATAACATTTAATTATTCAGGGAAGACCAGATGCAGTGTCTCATGCCTGTAATCCCAGCACCTTGGGAGGCAGAGACAGATGGACTGCCTGAGTCCAAAGGCTCAAAATAAGCCTGGGCAATTTGGCGAGATCTCATCTCTACAATTTATCAAATAAATTAGCCAGGTATCGTAGCGCATGCCTGTAGTTACAGTTACTCTGGAGGCTGAGGTGGAAGGATCGCCTGAGCCCAGGAGGTCCAGGCTGCAGTGAGCTGTGATTGTGCCACTGTACTCCAGCCTGGGCGACAGACTCTGACTCCAAAAAACAAAACAAAAACAAACAACAACAATAAAATATATACGTATATATAATATATATACATACACACACTCAGGGAAAATCATCAAGAGTCAGCTAATTTAGTAACTAACAAACTTTTCAGTTTCATATTCTGGACATATTTTAAATAATCAGATAAAAATATCTAAAATATGCAGGATTATAATCCCAGCATTGAAAGACCAAGGCAGGAGGACTGCTGGAGCCCAGGAGTTTGAGGCTGTAGTGAGCTATGATTGGGCCAGTGTAATGCAGCCTGGCTGACAGAGTGAGACCCTGTCACGAGAAAAAAAAAATTTAAGTGTCCAATTTAAAAAATTTTAAAATGGAAAAAAATTTCTTCTCAGAATTTACTCCCATACTTCACTGATGTAATAAGTATCATGTCATTCTTTAGGTTAAAAAAAATTATCTATGTTGGTTGCTGTTGACTATCATAAAACTAAAAGAAAAAAATCTATGTAAAAAGCTTCTAAGAAACTGGTATTACTCAATTTCCTTAGCTGGATGGTACACACATGACTGTTCATTTCAGTACTATTTAAAAAATTCTCCATGATATATGCTCTTTGGCATATATATCTCACAATTAAAAGAAACATGTACAAATTATATAGACTCTTTTTGGCATTTAAAAAAAAATTAAGAGAGACAGCTCTCACTGTGTTGCCCAGGCTAGAGTCTGGAATGAAGTAGCATGAGCATATTTTATTGTAACCTGGAACTCCCGGGCTCAAGCAATCCTTCCACCTCAGCACTGTGGGCATGAACCACCTTTTTTTTTTTTTTTTTTAAGAGAGAGGGTCTCATTAAGTTGTCCAGGCTGGTCTCAAACTCCTGGCCTCAAGATATCCTCCTGCCTCTGCCTCCCAAAGTGCTGAGATTATAGGTGTGAGCCACTTCACATGTCCCCAAACTCTTTCAAGTGGCAAACATGGTGGAAAGGGCAAGAATGAGAAATCTCAGCAAAGGGGATAAGATAAAGAAATGTGACAAAGCAAAGAAAGTCAATTTGTACTATGCACTTTATTCATGTCTCAGTAAGTTGACACATTGTTTTTGGTTCAATTAACCTTTCTCTTATAAGAATATAGTTTAACACCATTCCATTCGTTAAATTCAAATGATGAAATAAAACTTTCAGTTCATTCTTTCAGATTTAATAATTTTTTTGCTCTTTGGAAATCTTTTAGATTAGGAGTTTCAGAGGAGTGAATGGATATACTTTTCCAGAAAACTAAAGCCAGAATCTTATGAATTTAGACTATCTGTAAGTTCCTGGGATCTGATCTCCCAATCTAGTTCCTTATCAGAACTATGCAGTGGTAATAAGGACCACGTGAGTCTATGAGCAATAAAATAATCAGAAACTAGTAAGCTATGTACAATAAAAAGTTGTAGGATCAGAGACTTCGTTAGAAGCTAAGCAACTATAAAGGAAAATATATGGAAAGTAACTGAGCTCAAAAAGAATAATTTTAACAAATAACCTTCCTGAAGGTTCTGGGTTAACTAGAGCCACAATCTCGAAATATCAAATATGCCTGTACCTAGTATTAGGAGACATATGGAATGTTTCCAATCCTGTTATGATGGCAGGTCACATAATTCTCTCATATGCTTATGAAGCTAATTTTTGTAAAACACCTGTTTAGAAGCTAACCACACCCCTGCCCCACCACACACACACACACACACACACACACACACACACACACACACACACACACACACACACACACACACACACACACTCTCTCTCTCTCACTCTCTCTCTCTCTCAACACTCACACAGGTTAACATCCTCAGCATCCTCAGTTGTAAGTGTAAATTGTAAATGAACAATCTCCATTCTCCTTAGGGCAAGGAGCCCTGCCCTCCCCTTCCTTCCTTTCCCCTGCTTCTCTCCAGGGATTGTTTTTTGTATACCTTCCAGCTTCTGTCATTTACCACTTCCTCAACATTCAGTTCTGACTGCATCCATTTTAACTGCAAGAAACAAACAAAATTGAAGTTATAAAATGTAAAGAGCTAAAACTACACTTTATTATGTTCCCAACAAAACCTGCTGTTGTTCTTGTATTCTTTGTCTGCTAAAGATAGATTCTGGATCCTTCTTTGACACAACCTGTTCTCCACATTTAATTGATTATTAAATCTTGAGAACAGTGGTTCTCAAGCTTTGCTGCCTATTATAATCACCTTGAGAGCTTAAAAAAAATCTCAATACCAAGTTCACAAAAGACATACAAATGGCCAATACACATATAAAACAAAATGTTCAATCTTACTCACATACAAATAAGTGCAAATTAAGCCATAAAATGACAAAACAAAAAAAAAGTCTGATAAAACCTAATATTAGTGAAGGTGTGGGCAAAGATATATTTATAAACAGTCTAGGTGAAAGTATAAATTGTTACCACTTCTACGGAAGGCAATTTGCATCATCAAAAATACATGTCCTTGAACCTGACACTTACAGTTCTAGAAACCAATCATACAACTGTAGACTTGCAAAAATAGCACAGAAGAAGAAGGACAAGGCAACCTGATTTGGACAGAGAATTTTTTAAATGTCAGGAAGGAAAACAGGGAGAGGAAAGGGAATATACAAGACCCAAATGATCTAAAAGGCATGAATTTTTCACACCTTGAGCATACAGCCAGAGATCTCAGGATAAAAATGTGAAGTCTTTCTCTTTTTTTGAGTTGGAGCCTCACTCTGCCAGCCAGGCTGGAGTGCAGTGGCACACTCACGGCCACCCCAGCATCGACCTACTGGGCTCTGGCGATCCTTCTGCCTTAGCCTTCCAAGTAGCCAGAATTACAGGTGTGCGCTACCAAGTTGCCCGGGCTGGTCTCGAACCCATGGACTCACGCAATCCACTGGCCTTGGCCTCCCAAAGTGCTGGGAGTACAGGTTGAGCCATCACGAAGTCTTTCTAACTTTATTAACTGGCAGCCTAATTACTCCACCAGAAAAGAGGACAATTCCAGTCCAGATGCCAGGACCCATAATACTCTTCACATCTGGTAAGAGGATTTGAAAGGGAAGAAGCTAACTACTTCCGGGAAGAGGGCTTGATAATATTCAGGAAAACAAGGAGAAAAAAGCCTGAATTACAGTTGAGGCAGCCAAGAGGTTAAAACCCCAGGATGATTTTCTCAGGCCAAAGTCAAGAACACATACCAGATTTGGAAACAAAATGCTAGAGAGAGCCAGTTAAGATCTGGGTACCATCCAGTCTGACACCCAGGCCAAAGATCGAGCCCAATTAGGAGTGTGGCTCAGGAAGGTCTAACAAATTTGCATGCAACACTGATAAGAATGGAGCTTGGTACTGACCCAGTGTCTCCTTGCAAACTCCCTTCCTATATTTATAACTGTTGTTAAAACGTAGGCAGGTACACATGGCTGAAACTGTGGAACGGAAGGCTGCATTTTTGACAACTGGTCCCCTGCTATGGAGTTATAACAAGCCCAAGGAAGTCCATCAAAGCAATGTCAGCTTCACATTTTAGTCAGCCATACAGGCCCAAATTATCAAAGCCTGGGCTGACTGCCAAAGAAACAACTTCAGTGGAAGGACAGAGTGACAACAAGTCACTAAGACAGTCTTCATAACTGCCCCAACTATTTAAAGCGATGCCACATACGTATAAAAGGGTTTAGACTTACTCTGGGTAAGACTACCCAAAGAGAAGATTAAGGAGCAGTACTTATATATAACAAGGGGGGTAGAACTTCACAATATGTAAGAGAGTCTTTGAACAATCAGCACTGTTCAAAAGAGAATAGGTGACACTGAGACAGTAAGTCCCCCCCTTCCACAACACCTTACTCTCAAGAGGTGGTTAAACAAAAGGTAGAAACTACTGGGTGATGATATGACAAAGAGGATTAATATAACAAATTTGGAGTCCCAGAGACTCAACCAGTAAAGGAGTTGCTACTTTGTACTAGCCAATATGCTAGCTCTTCTACATAATTTAATCCTCAAAAAAAAGAAAAAGAAAAAGAAAACATAAGAAGCAAGTAAGTCTTAACCTGATTTTTTTCCAGACTGAAAATAAAAAGTTTCTTGTGTTTGTCTGGCTGTAGCAGGCACAGACAGAATTTTCAGAGCAATTAATTTACAAAGTCACCAAGGTAGATGAGATTTACTTCCTTAGCGCTGCTAGCCTTTTTAATCTACATATTTTTCTATTCTAGAACACTGCAGACATTATAGCCAATGTCTAATATCGTTTCATCAGTGCCACCAAACTGCATCTCTGAGATGGTGTTTTTGAGGCTCTGGGTCCTCAACAGGTAAACATCCTCTCAAAGGTCACTAATAGGTGGCAGCAGGTACAGAGTACCAGCAAGGAAGGTAATTTTTTTGAGTTAAAGATTCAGGTAAAGAACTGGGAATTTTTAGATTGGCATCTCTGTACATACTTAAAAAATGCTCACTAAAGTAACTCTAATTTGACTATTAGTCCTAACTTAATGTAAAGAAATTGACTGAATTCAGAGTCAGAAGAGAGGGGTTAAAGTCCCAGTTCTACCACTTAACTAGAGCTTGTGACTAGGAATGTCAGAGTTTCCACCTATATAAAATGAAGAGGAAGAGTTGGAATATCTCCAAGAGCTCCTTCTGATTCCACAATCTTCATGGAAAACTTGAAAAAAAGTTACATTTCTGGTTACTCCCTAGCCCTATTCTACATTGTCAGGTTAGAAAGCAAAGGTCAGCCGGGCTCAGTGGCTCAGCCTGTAATCCCACACCTTGGGAGGCTGAGGTGAGTGGATTACCTGAGCCCGCGGGTTCGAGACCCGCCTGGGCAATTTGGTGAGACCTCATCTCTACAACAAATCAAAAAAATTAGCCAGGTGTGGTAGCCTGCGCCTGTAGTTCCGGCTACTTGGAAGGCTGAGGCGGAAGGATCACCAGAGCCCCAGCAGATCGAGGCTGCGGTGGCCGGGAGCGGCCACTGCACTCCAGTCTGGGTGACAGATTGAGACTCCAACTCAAAAAAAAAAAAAAAAAAGAAAGAAAGCAAAGGTCACAAAGCTTAATGATTGGTTTCTAAATGCCTCCTTTCAGTGGTCATCCTGGTGTTTTTCTCTGGGTCCTAGAGGCACAAGGGCAGATCTGAGGGCTGAGCAAACTGTGTGACACAATCACTCCCAAACACTCAGTGGTTTAGAGCTTTGAACTTTACTCTCCACTAACAAGAGTCATTCTAGTCTCTGTTTGACTTAATCTGCAAACAGTGGCTTTTCAGCTTCTGATTTAACAGACTCGCCCTCCAGTTTCCTTTGTCAACGGACACCTTCAAGAGTCTGTTGAAATACAAAATCCAAGATTACCTACATTTTAACTAGTTTCATATAAATTATCCATAAGCCTTCATGAACATCGAGGGTAGGGTAAGATGAACATCATTACATAAGGTTGCTATCTGAGGAATCTACCATTGCTTGTTGCACAAACAGGTATGGACTACCAACCTGAAGCAGTCTTCATGAACAAAGAGGCAGCAAAGACAGTGGCTGATTCCTGAACCCAGTGAGACATTCTGAACTGGTAGAATGATGGAGAAAGTGCAGCAGCCTGGCCTACCCACCTGTGTGCAGCTACAAGGAAAGAGGTTTCTTTTCTACTGAGGGCTTGGATGATAAGGTCACATCTACTAAACAAATGGCAAATATCACGACTATTCAGTTTGTAAAGTATGACTCCATTCTGCAGGATCTGTAAGTCACCGATTGTGCCATCTTAAAATATGTACATGATTTTTATAATTGTGTAGCAGTCATGTAAGAAAAAGTCCCTGTTCTTAGGAAATAACTTAAAATTTTAAGTAAAAAGTGGTACAATGTGCCCGACACACTCTCAAAATGATTCAAGGGAAAAAATATTTATGTGTGCAGGTGTAAGGGGAGAGAGGGAGAAGGAAGAAGGCAGGGAAGGAGAGAGAGAAGGTCAAGAGAACGAATTGCAAAGAAGGTGGGGCAACATATATACAAGAAGTGAATACAGGTAATGGGCACATGGGAGTTCCTTGTACTGTTTTTGCAACTTTTCTGTAAGTTTGAAATTATACAAAACAGTATCCCGAGTCCCCTCAAAAATAAAAAAGGGATAGCACTAAATTCCACATAATAAAATGTACTATATATTTCAATTATTTGCTTGGCATGTCACATACACGGGCTATAAAAAAAACAGTTCTGCTGCATTAGCTGTACTCTGAGGTCCACACCTTATTTACATTACAGTTGACTTGAGGACGTAAGACTTCCTCTGACACATGGCTGGGTGAGCACTTGCTACTTTTTTAAAAGTAAAAACACTGCAGGGATGGGAGGTGAAGTGGGAAAAAGGAGTGTCTACAAATGGCCAAAGACTCATAGCAACTTTTTATTTAGACAGATAAATTACAATGAAGTACTTGTGTATCTGGTTATGTCAAAATAGTACTGTATATAAGATATTTAATTATATTTAGAAGGGTAATATCTTGATGTTAAATAGTCTGTATTATAATTTCAGCAGATTTCCACAGAGTGAAACCAGAGATATTTTCAAAACATAAATATATTATAGATGTTTCTCAAGTTAAGCCTCAAAAGGTATACACTGTACAGATGTGATTTCCCTAACATCTCCGACATGCTATTGGTCTATAGTGATCCTTTATCTTTAATAAAGGGAAGAAAACAAATAAATGAAAATGATGCATAAAATATAAAAACATAAATGATCATGTGCTTATTTTGGATAAAGGTGCTACACTGCATCTGCTTATTGAAATACACATTAATTTACCAGTTAATAGCTAAATGTAATCAAATAAAGCCCACTAAAAATGAAGCATTAATCTCATGGTCATTTTTTCAAAGAACTAATAATCATACTCTAAAATTTTCATATTAAAAGCTACCTTTATTTTGAAGGCTACATTTGGAAAAACTTTGCCTGAGAAATGTTAATTCTGTTCAACTTACCTTTGTCTGTTCTTTTCTAAGTTGCTTTAATAATGTTAAATCATCCAAATTCTTTTCTCTCTCTTCTCGAAGATTTTTTACTACTGTTGAGGTCTGGGCTATACAATTTTTTATGACTCTGTCCCTACTGGCATGAGCTGCCATCAACTAAAAGAACAAAGGAATGAAAAGGGGGGGAAAAAATCACATTTTAGTGCTTCAAAAAAAAAAAAAATCTTCATTTGAGACTACAGAAATTTATACTTTCTAAAACAATTTCTCACAATTGAAACCATGGAAGAGAAGACTCTGTTGAATCAACTAACTCATCTAAAAACAGTAAAAGGAAGCACCTCTGAGGGTTAAAGTTATGGGATCACAGGCTGTCTTCTTGCTCAATATGCTGCAATATTTCCTGTTCTCTTCCTGCAATCCCCTTGCTGGGGTTTCCCTGTTAGTTTTCTTTACCCTATAACCCAGATTCTCTTCATCATTTCATCCAAGTGTTCTTCTATCCTACATCCACCCTCATAGCCACTTATGGCTATTTTTCCTATTTTGTCCATTCACATTTTTTTCAGTCTCAAGTTGCCAACAAGTGAAAGAAATTATAACGTGATATAGAGAAATCCTTAGTTACAATAAAGAAAAACAAAGGCTGCTACATTTACCTAGATAAGACAGAGCCCTTTTCAAGTTTTAAAAATACTGATAAGAGGCTAGCGCAGTGGCTCAAGCCTGTAATCCCAGCACTTTGGGAGGAACAGCCTGGGCAACTTGGCGAGATCTCATGTCCAAAATAAATTTTTTAAAAATTAGCTGGGCATGGTAGCGCACACCTGTAGTTCGGCTACTTGGAAGGCTGAAGTGGAATGATCGCCTGAGCCCAGCAGGTTGACGCCGGGGTGCCCATGAGTGTGCCACTGCACTCCAGCCTGGGTGATGGAGTGAGACTCCAACTCGGAAAAAAAAAAAAATACACACACACACACACACACACACACACTGATAAGAAAAACATGTGAACCACAGATTAGTGGTTACATTAACTGTATGTATTAACTGAAAGTAAGGATGGCTGACAGAACAACTCTTTAATAACCTCCATCTTAATGTAATAAATCTAATTAAAAAATTATCATCTATTTTCCATCTTGATTCACAATGTATGATAGTCATGTTTCAAACACACTCCCATAATCATAGTCAAATTGTGATGACGCCCCAAAATTTGCATTTGGAAAGTACTGTTTTTATTGCTTGGTATTAATTTTTATGTTTATAATGGGAATGAACAATGTTAAGCTAGAAAAATTTCATAGATGAAAGGGAATATACACTAACAAGTAATCTCATTTAAATTATTTTACTTTTACCATGAGTATACAAACTTTTAAGATTTGGAATTTCTAAAATTAGTGCTTCCATTACTGATCATCTCCTAGGAAGACGCGCTATTAAAAAAATACCAATATTCCTTCATTAGCTGTAGCAGGAATTTGGGTCAGAGATTAATGTCAGGGTGACTATGAGCAACTTGGATGTCTCATAGAGTTCTATTTCTTGATTGACACAATATTTAAGGGAACTCAGTGGTACTTATTGGCACGGGCACTCTGCTACAGTCCTGATCCCTGGTTCAAAGTTACTTAATAAATTATCCTCTACATGATATACATGCTGAATCCTTCTAGGATACAGATACTGACAGAGAAAAATCCAAACACATACAAAAGTATGTCCAAAACAGAAAAGTTCCAAATTTAGTATCTAAGGTTATCCTGATTCACCAAAGAGACAATAATAATAACAGCAGCAGCAAACATTTATATGCAAAACACTTAGTACAGTAAGCACTTTATATCAACACACTTTATCCTCTAACAACCCTATGAACTAGGTACTACTTATTATTATAATACTATTTTACAATTAAGGAAACTGAAGCAGAGGTTAAATAACATGTTCAAGGTCACCCAGCTAGCAAGTAGTAGATCTAGAATCCATGTTATTAATCACACTATAAACCTCTAGATTAACAGGAAGATGGTAAATTGAAACAACTGAATCGATTATAAAGATTACATGGAGAGTTAACTGAGAGGACATATCACTAAGGCGACCATAAATTTCTAGTTCTTTAAACAGAGATAACCAAAGAAACTAAGTGAACTGTCAAACAACCTCAATAAATTAGGACCTAGATCCATGCTACCTACTCCCAATGCTGAATTCTACTCATGAAAGTCCACAACCTTTCAATTGCTCAAGTATCAAGACTTACCTGTTCATTAAATAAAATAATTTAATATAAAAGCAGAACAAAAATATCATAGTTAGTGCTCCGAATTTAACTGACACAAATAAGTTTGTCCAAAATTGATCTGAGAAAAGAACTTTAGGTTTCAAGTATGCCTTCGGTATGACTGTGTAACTCGTGGTAGAGCTTAAAGCAGTGAGTGCCACCAAACTTTAGCTTCCAAGTTAATGAAAGGATATAAATAAGTAAACTATAAAAAAGACTTAGCTGCATCTTTATTTCCTTCTTTCGGAAATTAAAAATAGAAATAAAGGACGGCAATGAAAAAACATATGAGGGGGGAGACCCCCCCCAAAAAAAACCTAAATTATTTTTTGGAGGGTGGGTGCCTTGTAGTTGTACAGGTTTCCTCTGCTAGGTAAGTGTTCTAGGAACCCATCAGCATCAGTGTACCAGCTAGCATTGTGGTGAGAGGCTACTGACAGCTTCAGCGAACTTTTGGGGGGAGATTCTTTCAGTGTGTTTGCCCATTTCATGATGAGCGATTTACAAGCACACATGCCCACACTGTGCTGAGTGTTCAGCAATTTTTGACCAAAAATGCCACAACCCTCATGCTCCGCCTTCCCTACTCACCCAATCTCACCCTGAGTGACTTTTTTTTGTTTCCCTTCATGAAAAAATGTTCTCAAAGGGAAACGTTTTGCTGATATAGAAGAGGTGAAACAAAAAAATAGCAGAAGAACTAAACTGCATCAAAACTGACGAGTTCAAAAACTGTTTTGAGCAATGGAGAAAGCATCTCAATAGGTGTACGGCATCAAACACAGTATTTTAAAGGTGAATGAAGTGTAAATATGTAAGAATAAGTACACAATTTTTAATAAATATGTTCCAGGTTTTTTTTTTTTTTGGTCCCCCCTCATATACTTGAGAAATCAAAGCCTCAGTGGCTTTTCTTGTCTCCCAACTGCCACATGGTTCTGCTCCTCTTCCTGATAAGTGAGGGGAAAAAAGATCTAAAAAGTATGAAAGGTTTGATTCTCCCTTCTATCAGCTGTTGTAGGTTTGATTCACTCCAACTTCTTGCTCTTGTTACTGTTTTACTTTACTGTTTCGCTCTACTCCCTTCATTCCTTTGTGAATAAGGTTGTCTTAATAGTTGCAAACAAAGAGGTCAAAAATTGACTGCTCCCATTTTTAGAACCATCTCTTCACAGATGTGATAAGATTTCACATGAATAATATCACACATTTCCTTTAGTTTATAGATAAAAACTTATATACACCCTCAAATATGGGCAAGAAAACATGAAAATATCATTCTTTTATTCACAGTTTAGTTACATGATGATTTATTTTGCCTGCAAAGAAAGGTATAAAAGTGAAAGAGACTCAAGATACACTTACAGACTCATAGAGTTGTTTACAGGTTTGGCTGGCATCAATTTTCCCTGCAAAGGAAGCTGTTGGAACCGTAGTGTTTAATTCATGTACTATTCTGTCATCAATTGTCCTCATCACCTTGAGTAATTCCTATATGTATTTGAAATAAAAGAATATAACCTGAATGGAAAGTTAAGTGATAAAAAATAAGTATTTAAGCAAAAAATAAAGCTCTTGGATATTTTGCAACTTGTTAAAGTTAGGAGTGGGGAAACCAAGCCAAAGAGAATGTAACTGTATGAAAACCTTTATTACAAGTATGTTAGGGAGGTTAAGCAACAGTAGTCCTAACAATGGGCAGCAACTCTGCCTCGGTTCAACTGTGATCATCTTAAGGGTTAAGACTGTTTTTGCTTATGTTTAAATCCCATTTGCTGGCATGGTGCTTAAGCAAATAGTGTCTGCTCCTTCTATTTCCAGTATACAGCCAATAAAGGGTCCTTGAACTTGATTACCACAGGCTCTTCACAATAATCCAGCATAATTCCTTCCTCGACTCCCTCTTTATCTATCATTGTAAAATGTGGTAGTACTAGAAAACTTCTGGAAAGATATATAAGAAACTATTAGTAGTAGTTAACTTGCAGAAATTAATCTATATCCTCTTAGGCTTTTAGTTTTCTGGTTCTCCTTTTTTCTTTCTTTCTTTTTTTTTTTTTTTACTACGAACATGCTATTTTTGTGGAAAAAAATAAGTAAAAATATGCTGCTAAAGAAGAAATCAAACATCTTTAAAACATTCTTCTTCACAGAACAAGTAGGAATTAGTTTTACCTCTTCTTAGTAATCCTAGCTCACATCTCCCAAGAACTCCTCTCCCTAAAAAAGCCTCCAACTCTCAGAAAACCAACCGCAAGAAGTCATCCCAAAAGGAAGAGAACTTGGAAAGACAGGTGATAATTACCTACCCAGCACAGTCCCGCCTCCCCACATTCCACCAGTGCCCTTCTTATCACTTGTCACTATAGAAAGACTGGGCATCAGCTACATTCTGTCTTCAGAGGTTTCTGGCAGTATTCCCTTTCCTTTTTACTCAAATTTACAACAAACCCAAACATCAACAACAAAAAAACCATGAACACTGAAACACCATTAAGAAACCATGAAATATACATATACCATCCTATATCTTTCCTTTGCCAAACTTAAATTCATGACTGAAACTGGCTGCTTCATTTTTTCCTCATCCACTTGTTAAAATAAAAACTTTTATTATGATAAAAATGTAACTTTATTTTAGAAAAATTTGAAAGAAAATAAAAATCATCCATAGTTAACCATTATCAACATTATAATATGTCCCTTTGGTCTTTTTTCCTACACCTATCTATGGACATTTTTATAAAGTTGAGGTACTACATAACATTTTAAGAATCCTGTTTTATGATATCATACTATAAGCATTTTGCCCTTGCTACTAGAAATATCTTGAACACATTTTTAATACTAGCATGAATATTCTATCCTATGGAAACACCACAGCTAATCTGACCATTTCCTATTAATGGACATGCAGATTGCTTCCAAATCAAATAAACACTTAGTCCATTCATTCTAGAGCTGTAGTCTAAGTTTTGTCCTATCATTCCATTAATCTTTAATCAGTGAATTCAGTGGCCTTTTCTAGGTCTTAATCTAAAATAAAAACAGCTTGTGAAGGCCCATAATTGACATTAATAAAACATAGGTAAAATCAGGTCTAAAACCAAGTTCATTATCTTATCTCCTCTTCCTGTATCTTTTATATTTTCATTAATATTCTCTATAAACTGTAATTCTTAGAGGATAATCTCAACATATCCATTGGGCAACCACCATTTTCAACAGTGTGAGGGTATATATACAGTGGAAGAAAGATAATGTCTAAGTGCCAAATTCCAAACAAACGGTAGTAGCAGTTAGGGAGTCAAAAAATTGGTAAATAGAAGAGAGACTCGCCCTGCCAACTTTACTTCCTACAACTTGCCTACTTTAAAAATGCCTCCTTCAAAATACCTTTCAAAACCTTCTTTTCCTCTGTCTAAATTGAACTGATCTCCCAAGGCCAAGGGTTAAGGTATACCTTCTGGATCAAGTTTTCCTTGGTTATGAAAAATTCCTCAGTATTCTTTCTTCTTTAAATAATGCAGCAGTTAGAGTATCATAGAGTTCATTCATTTAGTAACTTACTCTTCATTCAAAACATATTTACAATCATCCCGTGGTGGTGTATGGGACTGGCTCCAGGACATCACAAGAACATCAAAATCTAAGGATGCTCAAGTCCCTGGTATAAAACGGCACCGAAATTTGTATATAACCTAAGCACATCCTCCCAGATACTTTAAATCATCTCTAGATTACTTATCATACCTAATACAATATAAATGCTATGTGAAAAGTTGTTATACTATATTGTTTAGAAAATAATGGTGAGGAAAAAAGTCTGTACATGCTCAGCACAGATACAATTTTTTTCCAAATATTTTCGATCACGGATGCAGAAACCATGGATACATGAGGGCTCACTGTTACTAATGTCTAGTATGCGTCAGGAACCATTTTAAACACCAGGGCTACAGTGGCAAATAAAACAGAAAAGGTCCTTGCTCTTACAGAGCAAAATACCTTAAGAGAGAGACAGAAAATAAACAAGTATCCCCATAAATGAGATAAGTTCAGATACTGAAAAATGCTGTAAAAATGAACTGAGGTAACAATATAAAGCCTGACTGGAGTGGTGGTTGGGGCTACTTTAAGTAGGGTTCAAGAAAGGCTTTTCTGAGGATGTAACATTTGAGCTGAAACCTAAATGATGTGAATGAACTAATTCTAAGAACATCTGGGGGAATAAGTCAACAATTATGAGGCAAAAACAAACTTTGGAATGTTTGAAGAATTAAAAGAAGGAAAGTGGGTTGGGAGGGAATAAGGGAGAAAGTGGTACGAGGTGAGTTCAGAATAGACCAGAACATGGAGGACAATTATACCATGGCAACGATTAAGGAGTCTATGCTAAAGGCAGCAGGGTTTTAGGCAAGGTTGTTTATATTTGGAAGGAGTGGGAAGATCAAGAATTCTATTCTGACTTGCAGATTACTTGATAACATTAAGAATTATTGATAATTACTTGTATGTGACACCGGTATTACTTTAAAAGCTTGTGATCTTTTAGAGATGCAGACTGAACTATTCACAGAAAAAAAGATATAATATCTGGGATGTGCTTCAAAATAACCTGGTTAGGGTGGAGCAAGTGGTAGGAGTATACAGATGAAACAAGAGTGGCCATGAATTGATTGTTGGAGTTGGGGGATGGGTACATAAGTCTTCATGATGCTGTCTCTCCTTTTGTGTATACAGAAGTTATAGAAAAGTTGTTTTTTGTTTGTTTGTTTTCTGGAGTCAGAGTCTCACTCTGTCACCCAGGCTGGAGTCTAGTAGCATGCTCACAGCCACCACAGCCTCAACCTGCTGGGCTCAGGCAATCCTTCTACTTCAGCCTTCCAAGTAGCTAGAGCTACAGGCATGCCTGGCTACTTTTTCTTCATTTATTGTAGAGATGAGGTCCCGCCAAGTTGCCCAGACTGATCTTGAACGCCTGGCCTCAGGCAATCCTCTCACCTCCGCCTCCCAAAAGGTTGGGATTACCGGTGTGAGCCACCATGCCTGGCAGTAAAGTTGTTTTTTAAAAGTTCTGTTTTGCACCTAATACATTTGAGACGCCTATTAGATATCTGAGTAGAGAAGTAGAGTAGTAAGTTGAATACTCCAGTCTGACACTGATCAAGGCTAGAGTTATTTATACTAACAAACTGATATTCTTTAAAGCCATGAAACTTGGAGAGATCACTGAAGGAGACTAGGAAGTGAAGGGGGCCAATGATCAAGAAGGAACACTAGCATCTGAAAATACAGGGAAAAGTCTGTGACACCACAGAAGTCAGAAGAAAAATGGTTTATAGGAGGGAATGGTCAATTGTGTTCAATGTTACTAAGTCAAGAATTACAAGAACAGAAATTAATTTTTAGACTTAGCAGGATGGAAATCATCATGGGTGACCATGAAGAGAGTTATTTAAGCAGGGTATGAACTGAAAAGTTAATGTGGTTAAGTATAGAGAGTTAAAAAAAACCTGGTGTAAGATGAGGTCCACTATTGCAGGTCATGTTATAGGATTTTAGTCTTTCCCCTAGTCATGGGTAATCAATGAGGTATTTTAAGTATGGTGGGGTTACATGATCAGAACTGTGTTCTAAAATGATTGCTTTAAAGTGTGGAAAATGGATTGGAGAGAAATAAGAGTAGATGAAAGATCAGTTAGGAGTCTGATGCAGCAATCCAGGTGAAAGAGTAAGTCGTTTGACATTTCCTAGGGTATTTATAGACTGAACTTTAACCAGTTTTGAGTTTGAACACTGGTCATACCTTAATCACTACAGCCAAATTTCCTTCCAATAAAACAATTTGGACATACTATCAAATTCCTTAGACTGCAATGGGAATTTGCCTGCAGTAGCTAGGTAATAAATCCATCAACTTTACAGTCTTGTCAATGGAACCTACAAATGTGAATTATCAAATACGGTCACTTATGTGTCACTTTAATGACTAGGATACATTCTGAGAACTGCATTGTTAGGTGATTCCATTGCTGTGTGAACAGCATAGTGTACTTACACAAACCTAGATGATACAGCCTACTATTGCTCCTAGGCTAGAACTCTGAATACTATAGTCAATTGTAACACAATGATAAGTATTTGTGTATCTAAACATAGAAAAAGTATAGTAAAAAATACAGTGTTGCAATTTTATGGTACTGTTGCATTTGTGGTCTGTCATTGACCAAAAAACATAATTATGTGGCACATTCTATATCAGTTTTTCTGTACTAGAGAATAATCAATACATGATCTAGAGCCTGGCTTTCAAAATGGCAAACACTAGCCACATGAGGTTATTTAAATTAAAATTAAACACAATTTAAAATGTAGTTCCTCAGTTATACTAGCCATATTTCAAGTGTTCAAGAGTCACATGTTCCTAGTGCCTACCATAAGTAGGAAGCACAAATGTAGAACATTTCCACCATCACAGAAAGTCCTAT